GGAGTGAAAAGTGACGGTGTTTTCACTCGAAGCGATAGTGAAAATACTGCCACTCGAAACCACAAGAATGAACGTTTCACTCAGAATTAGAACGGATTCTGATTCCATATGAGCGAATCGGAATGAATATTCCAATGCTATGTATGCGCTCCTCTGTCACAGTGGAATGCATCAGATTCACTCTTCAACTTTTGAGTGAGGATATTCACTCGACGATTCGGACAATTTAGTTTGAAGAGTGAAAAGTACCTCGAATTCGAGTGACTCGGTGGTCATTCAACTTTTCGAGTAATTCACACTCGAATTCACACTCTAATGTCGCTCCAAGAGAGTTAACTACGGAACAATTATGTGGTTACTGCAATCACAGAGCAATTTCTGAGTTACAGTAGCGAAATCCGGTTGCTCCAATCAGAGTGTATCCATGATAAATGTCAACTCGACCGATTTCTTATCGCCACAACCAGGTCATGCACAACTATTATATCAATGTAGTCAATATACCAATATAGTCAGTATACCAATGTAGTCAGTATACCAAAGAAACTGAATCATATAAACCATATACGTTATCATCACACAAATATAACTATGGTACCGTTGTGCTGTTCACAACTAAATATTTCTGACTACCTATATATTTTTCTTCCCTATATGTCATTTAAGGGGATATTCTAGTAAGAAAGCCTATTTTCAAGGCGATTTTTAGGAATTAATTTAAAGCAAATGGTTAAACCTACAGAATTAATGTTTTATATTGACATTTTTCATCTTTGAAGAAACATCTCAAATGTTGTCAAAACTTTATATTCAAAATTGAAGGAAATATAAGTGGACGAAACAGGTCATGTTGTAAAATTGTCTTCCATCAGGTGAATTGATTGCCGCCGTCCTCGTCATCTGACAAAAACAAATTTGCGTTTATTTTATTCTTCATGAATCTGGCTATCGCCCGAGCTAGAATAAAATAATTTGAAGAAAAATTGATAAAATAGCGGCGTTTGAAAAATAGTAATCTGATTTTTACTAAAAAATTCCAACTATTCGCTGTCCGGAAAAATAGTAATTTTAAAGATATTAAAAAGATTCTAGTTCGGGCGATAGTCAAATATGTGCACTATATGTGTGTAAAAGCGCAAGTTGATTGGTCCAGTAGTTTCCGAGAAAAATATTCGCCCGATTTGAAAAATGTCGTTTCGAGAAAAACGCGTTTAAAGTTTCTCATGCACTTATGAGGTGGATAATGAGTAATTAGAGTAACTTACCCTTAATCAGCTATACCAGCGCCATATAAGACCTTCTTCAACTTCATAAAACTCACGTTTGTTAGCTTCCTCTTGTCTCTTGGCAATTCTTGCTCTTTTCGTCTCGTGCAACGCTCGCTGCTCCGTTTAACACGCTCGTTGTCTCTATTAATCGCGAGGAATTTTGCATTTTGGCCGATTTGCAGTCCCATTACGTCCATTATTTTTAAAATTGTATGAAACCCTTTATTAAACAGGCAAACAGCCAAAAAAGTTACAACTTCAACCGTCTTCTTTTCACAATGCAGATGTTTGGTGCAATTGTTCAAATTAATGAAATTAAATTTTTGTTATTATTTTGAGTAAATAATTCGAGGTATCGCTGTAACAAATCATGGGTAGTTAATCTTCGTAAATAGGTTGGATGACTTTTAACACGTCATCATTCATCTCACAGCCGGCACGCCGTATAGAAGCTGCGTCTTTTAAATCTTTATAACTCAGTCAAAACTAATTTCATCTTAATATTTTAGGGACATATTTTCGAGACTTTAAACTATAAAAATATGCAAAAAAAGAAAAATCGATTTTTTGGACCTCACATTAGAATATCTCCTTAATGAAATCACCCGCCCATGATCATGCAACTATATATTATACTTATAATCTAAACATATGTATGAATACACGTACACACATACCATATGATACGATACGTAAATTTATTAGGTTGATGCAAAAGACTGTTTATTCTTTTATCAAGTTCAAGTGGACAGTTTGGGTATTAGAAGCAAGATAAAGTTCTCATTAGGTATCTAAAAAAAAAATACCTAGTCGATATCGTCGATATTATCGGTGAAAATTATTTCTCTCTCGCAATTGGATCATATTTGGTTTTCATCCAATAAACTTGCGAAATCTTTAGCAACCGACCTAATAAATAATCCACTGAGAGAAATCTCTCGGCGATGTTTCACCTCCGAGGCTGCCATTTACCAAATACTTCGATTACGATGCGTTCTAATGACGTTACGCCTCGGTACGCATTCGCAATTGATAACAAAGTTGCGCGTGACTCGCACGTAGGAAAACAAGCACGGGGAATAAGAAGGAGATATCGCGTGTATGAGAGAGATGGTGTGGCGAAAGAAAAGAACGACGAGAGGAGAACGTGAATATAAGATGAAAGGACGAGACAAGGAGCGAGGAACACCGAGGGGGACGACGAAGGGGGGTGTGTGCGAAGTTGCGAAACGGCTAGTCGCGCTCGACTGCCTTTCGATGAAATTGAATCGCGAAAAAAGTTCGGTGGCCGCGTGTCAATCGTAGTTAATCCTCCACGCGACGCCCCGTCGAAGCTCGAATTTACTCGCTAACGAGACGTATATCGACCGTTCGGCCGCGACTGTCGTCGTTACAGTCCTCTCCCCTCGCGAAGACGCAATCCCGGTCGTCGAATTCGTTGAAAGCTCGCAAAGGAAAGCTCTCTCGCTCTCCGACACGCGGCCGGCGGTGCGTCGCTATTAGCTCATTTGTATCCATTCAAGGCGGCTATTAACGAGCCGTTGCGCATATAATGCAGCCCATTATGTGGACGAGGAACGCGTACGCCCGATGTGCGTGCGATGCGCGTCGAGTGTCGACCAACGGTCAACACCACCGTGGTAGAAGCGTTTCTTTATTCTTTGTCCTCGCTTCTCCCGCTGCGGCCAACGTCCTTATTCCCGAGAGACGGGGACGGGGAATTGTCGCGTGCTCTCTTCGCGTAATTTTGCTCGCGATCAAACGCGAGGAGATCCAATCGGGAGATCTGGAATCGCCACGTGGTATCACCCCGCGTGGAGAAGAAACGCGCGCTACGAATCCCACCCTCCGTCCCGAAAGGGTTAAAAATCATCCAACTGGTAGATGGGATCCATCGACCTCAGATTGTCCCCGTGCACTTTCACCGCTCTCTATCGATCCGCGATCGCTCGAGTTCCTTTTAATCCTCGTGTCGCAAATGTCAGCGTCGTGCCGACGAGACGAGGGACAATCCGATTAGGATCTACTTACTTCTGAATACACTCGCCGGCATTATCTCCTCGCTCTTTCGGCCACGTCGACGTCGTCGTCGTCGACGTCGGCGGTGGTAGCGGCAATCAATACCGCCGCCGCTAATTCCGCAAACGTGCTCTGCGTTTTCCTCCCGCAACATTCGCTCGCCTCACGTCTCAGGGCCGGTTTCGTGCCCCGAGCAGCGCAAGACTGATGCACGTGCACATGTGCTGCATTCGCCACGAGCGGAACAGAAGGGAGAAACTGCATCCGTCCGTCCATCCGCTCGTGTACTCGTCGCGCGTACACGGAAAAAGAAAGTGAGCTGCAAGAATCTGTGTGTAGTGGCTAAATCTCGCTTGTAATATATGAATACTTAAAAGTAAAGCTGCAGACATATACAGTGTGTCTCAGACTCTCCTCCGCAATTTTTATGAGAACGTAGAACGGATTTAGGTGAACATAAAAGTGCTATGCCGTTTTGCGACATTCGCAATAAATCTCGAGATATTAATCAAAGAAAATTGGCGAATGATCACGCGCGATATAGTAGATGAGCTGTAACGATGTGTGCTTGTACATTAGAACAGATTGAACAAAAAGGCCCTTTGTTATTTTGCAAATAATCACGTAGATTTTTAGTTATTGATGAAAGAAAATTGTTATATGATTGTGCGCGATAATGCACAAATCTTCTTTAATTAATATCTAAAAATCTATGTGGTCATTTGTAAAATGATAGAGGACCTTTTTGTTCAGTTTGATCTGTAATATATAAGTATATAACGACAGACGGGGCCCTGTATATTAGCTATGAAACGGATGTAGTGGTAACAGTAGTAAAAGTTTTGGTTACAGCAGATTTTTAGTTACATAACAACAAAAGGTTCTCAGCAAACCATGATTAATAAGATCTTTTTTTCCGTGTACCATCGTGGACATCTCGATATCGCGGCGCGTTATCACGAATATATAATCGCGTCTCGAGTAACGCGCGCGCCGCATTCTCTCGAGTCCCCGTGTAGTCGGGGTGCGTAAAAGTCAGTGTTACCGGTTCGCTTATTAAGCAACAGCCGAGCTCAACGAGCCCCTCCTCGTCGTTTAACGAGCTGCTACTTGTATCTAGGTTAACACTCAAATATAGACGCTACAATTTCATCCGTCGATGCGGGTGGAGACACTTCGATATTTTATTAGCAGCGTTGAGTTAATATCGAGGCGCTAACGCGGCAATTAACGCACAACGAAATTGCGTTCTCGAGTGGGAACACCTCTCGCGGCACGGAGAGATTGTTGGGAGATGAAACTCTTGAGCAGAACGTAGTCTTCAGACTGGATTTTACCGCGCACGACTATTGCCAGGCTGCGATAGAGTCGAGAGAATGAGAGAAATCGAAGGATTATAAAGTGACGAACGATGTACCGGATAGATAGGCGGAATGGATGCTAAATAGACGGGCGTTAAATGGCTAAACGAGCAGATACATGGGTGGGGATACTTCATATACCCGCGGCGGATACATACTACTCGCGGCTGTGAGAGAAAAGTGACGGTACACGGGCTGGCACAGGCGTGCATGCGTGCGTGCGTGCGTGCGTACGTGTCTCGCCACGGTGGACACGGCGCAGTCCTCTCCCGGCTGCTGCCGTTTCGTAATTTAATGAGATCTTATTAAGAGGACGACCAACTAACTGCACCGCTCTGTGTTCTGATTTCAGCGGCTCTGTTTTCCATCCCTCGACGGCCATGAGTCCTCCTTCACGTTCAGCCTCTCCGGCAACCAGGACATCGAGGGTCCTTCGGGTGGCTTCGAGTGTATCCAGCAAACCGGTGCTAAGTACGTATCTCTCGCACGTGCACCTTCGCACACGCGTCACGAGTCGCGTCTCTCTGATCAAAATCGACTTTGATCCCCGAGTCGCTTCTCGCACTTCACTGCGCGTCATTGCCGATTTGCGTGCTCTCATCTCTTTCTCTTTTTTTCTTCTTTTCTTTTCGAGTGCGTATTTTTTCGAGACTGAGTGATTCTGGTCTGTGTTAACAGCCGTTGCTTGAAACTTATCTCAAGTGTATAGATTTCGGATATTTGGACCCGTATTAATAATTATTGCTTGAAATTCGTCTCGAGTGAGATACTCGTATTTTAATTCAGAATTAGATGAGAGCTTTTTCAGTTGAATCGTCCAATTGCAGGTATAAATATATCACATGTATCAGAATACACAACTGAGGAAAAGCTTGAATTTAACTCTGAATAGAAATTCGTTTCACAGACAAGTTTCGGATGATATTTATTAATACAGGTCTTGGGCTTTTAAATTGAATCATATAATATATACATTATATTTGTAATCGTGGTTCAACTGAGAAACTCGCATCTAACTCTAAATTCAAATCCAAGACCTGTATCGATAGTCGTTACTTGCAACTTGTCTCGCGTGAGATGCTCAGATTTGAAATCGGAGTGAGATCTGAGTTTTTCAGTTGAAACGCATGATACACGTGATATTACATTTGTAATCGCGATACCATCGAAAAACTCTATCCAACTTATAACTGAAATATGAGCACTTCAGGCAAGTTTCGAATAACAACTATTGATACGGACCTTTGAATAATATAATACCTCGATTATAATGACTATATCTCGACGCGACGATAACGCTTTTATCGAGCTTTTATGTGTTTTTTACACTCGGTGCACAGAATGCGCCGCGCGCGCGACTACTCAAGTAACGGAGGAGCAATCGAAATCGCAGTTAACGCGCTCAATAGCGGCCGTTACTCGCCGGATCGGTATCCTTCGACATTATTATTACGCGTCGCGGTGGTGTCGTAGGAAAGGAAGTGTCGTGTATCATCACGGTGACTATCGGATAGCGGAGAAACGATCTCTCATAGACTACTCCCCGGCTACACGAGCGATCTCTCTCTCTCTTTCTCTCTCTCTGTCTCCCGTCTCGTAAGCGGCACAGGTAATTTCCTATCCGAACCGAGCGACGTAAAAACTCTCTCGGGGAAGCATCCTTGAGGAGAGCAGGTGGTACTATCGCAGCGGCAACTTGACACACTAAAACGCGCTGTTAGCAGCGCGCCGCTAGCAGGTGTCGACTGCTCGCGAATGCTGCAGCCGTGAACGGTTATGCTTGAGTCAGCAGAACCGATTCAGCGGCAAGTAGCGCGACTGCTAATGCTACCGTACCGGCGAGGACGTCGACGACGACGACACGCCGACAATCGTCGGCGCTTAACGCGCCACAACAATTCGTCGTCGATCGTCGTCGTTGTCGATGAGGACGTCGAGTAAGACAACAACTTGTGAGAACAACGCGTCACGCCCTCCTCCTCAGGAGCCTCCACGAATTTTATTCTGACACATTGACAGTCGGAAGAGTAAAACTACGCTCTCAGCCAGCAGTGTGAATCATATTTTCGCAGCATGCAGTTCAAATTTTGTGTAATATATAATATTACATATCTTGTTCAAAATGACAATTTTTTTAAAACAAATAATATTCTCTGATATTAAATTTCGTCGCGGTTAGACACGATATTCTACGCGACGCAACGTCGGTTACTTCAGTGTGTTTGACACCTTGACAGTCATTGTCAATATTAGAGTATTAGCATATTTTTCTTTAGCTTTTACGTAGCTAGAAGAGACTCAGTTTTAATATAATTCCTTAACCACACACATTTATTCATATTTCTTATTCCTACATACGTAGTTATCCTTATAATTACATTGCTTCTCTCTTTATCATCTTTTTTATCAAAATGTCCTTGTAATCTCACAATTTTTTTCATCCTCACCTAATCTTTACACTATCTATACCTTATCTACCGTGTCTAATTACGTTTTCCTATTTTACTCAATAGGTATCATATCGTCCTCATACAATAATACTCCAAACTCTTTTCTTTTCAGCTGTACACATCTATCCTTTTATCTTTCCTTTCTCTAGCCGATCTCTTCACTGCTTTTCTTATTTTCTCTTCATCCTCCTTTCCCTTAATCTGCTTCTATAACTTGTTAGTTTCATTATTCCTCTCTATATATTTCCTACTAGTTCCATGAAGTGAAGTCCTCTACCTTTTTCTTCACTTCCTATCCACTTTCATGTCTCCTGCAGCTTACATCGTTAAGAAGGAGTTTTCTATATCCTATAACCTTTCTCTTATTCTTTGCACTTCAATCTTCTTACTTGTGCACAGAACCTGCCATCAGTGCTTATATCATGTTTCTTCCGTATACTTTTATTTTGCTTCCTTATCTCATTCAGTGACCAAACCTTTCCTCTTCGTTTCTTGTATCTTCTTCTTCCTCGATTTCTCGTGTATTTTGTTTTTTATTACCACCTATTATACATTTCTTCTATCGATAATTTCCTCTGCATTACCATGCTAATTTGAGCTTACTTACATTACCTACACCACTCTATCTTGTTTTGTCTTTACTTAACTACTATTTACGTACTTATTCCTACGTAATTTCTCCTGATTAATTTCTGATATCCTATATACTTAATTCAATACATTAAAATCGTTCTAAATTCACACAGCATGTAAATCAAGCATCATCCACGCACTTGCACGTCATCTTTTTAGATCCTTTGACGACCGTTGCCATGTATACGTGACTCTTCATTTTGCAAAAGGCTGTTGCCTTTTAGAAACTGCTCGCTCAATAATAACAATTTAGAATTGCAATAACGTATTGACTTATGTACAAGGAAGGTATTTGTCTCTATCTCTCTCTCTTCAGATACCATTATTTAAATGAACTCTCGACATCTGTCAGCGGCAGTCGAAGATTTTCCCGAAATCAATTGCGACCGTCAAGGTGTCAAGCGCGCTGAAACAGTGAGATCGGTTGATCTTGCCAGATTGCTCATTACGATTTTCGTTTTTCCCACAGGAACCTGGAGAGTCTCGGCAACATTCCGTACAAAATGCGGATACACGCGAACGACGACGTGTACGAGACTACCAGACACAGGATGGTGATCGCAGAGGAGAACAATAAGAACAAATGGTGAGTCCATTCGTTCCCATCGATCCTTACGACGACGACGCATCGCAAGAGGAGAAGAGGAAGCAGAAGATCCTTCTTTCCTTTCGGGAAAGCGGATCATTATGTTGTCCTATCCTCCTCTTCGTGTCCCGAGACTTTCCTCCCGTTGCCGCCGCGCCTCGCGGAATCGTAAATAATGCTCGTCCCGCGGTCGTTACTTTTACAAACTTTCGCTCGGAGATACGGTCTCGGATGTGTTCGCAGCGATTCGCGTTGGAATTTACGAGGCGATGGCGCGTCTCGTGAGCGAGCGGCGGTGAGAACTCGCGGAAAATTGCGAACGCGCGCGGCGGGCCGATGCTTTTCCAGTCGAGTCGTGCCACCTCGTCGTCGCCCACCTCAATGCACTTCGTTTTCTCTTAAATCGAACGGGAGTGTATCCAGGGTATCTATCTCTCGGCCGCAGCCGAGGCTTTCGAAGGATCCACGCGAGCGCGTGGAAAATACGTTTACATACGGCGAGAACGAGTCTCCGCGTCTCTCCGTTCGATGGAACGGCCACCATCGGCATTCCTTGATTTGTTTTAACTATTCGTAAAGATTGCACGCCTTATGATTTTTGCGACTCCTCTTTCTTAAAAGTATCCCGAAGAGAAATGAGATTATTTACTTCACGAAAAACAGCGTTTGGTTGAATTGACTGAATGTCTAGTGAAATATGAACGAACGTCAGAGATCCTGTTGAAGTTACCAGAATTCTATTCTCAAGTTAGCAAAATGTCTGGTTTACCTGAACAGTTGCAAATTCTGGTTAGAAACCGGAATTTCTAGTTTCTTCATATTTCATCAGACGTTTGATTCGTCCAACCAAACTTTCTTTTCCGCGTGTTTTTCTTTTTTTGTTTAGAATTATAATTTATTAATAACGTTTATTGATAACGTTAATTATTAGCTCACTGTGTTGCATATGTAGCAGCACAGCGAATTAACGATTCTTATCTCGCTTCGCAGAGAAATATTCCGCATTTGAATGACGTATCTCTCGAAGCCAGCTTAAAGAAGCAATCTCGTCTAGAACGCTCGTTAACGCTATATTTGTTGCGCGCTGCTTATCGGAGGACCACTATCTCTCTCGTCTGGAACGCGGATGAAATCGTGCGATCTAAATTCCGCCACAGACGAAGCCGGGGCGCCGAGTGTATCAGTCGCAATTGTCGAGGTGCACACGACGCGAAATTCTTCGCGCCTCTTGCTCGCGCGCGGCCGCGTCGACGGCGTGGCTAATTTGTTTAGCGTCGTCGTCATGGCCAAGGTTAAGAGCGCCTCACAAGTGCGACTTCGTCACGCCTGAACCCTTTTTCGCCTCTTCTCAACGTCACGCGGTGCTGCTTGATCGGCCGGTGGAAAATTGCGTAACCCCCCGATCAATCGATCGGATTCCGCGTGTCGGCTGCGCGAGGAAAATTACATTAATTGCGCTGTCGATCTCGCGACAACGACAATGTTGTTGCACGATATTGTTAGAGACTCATGTTTCTCACACGTAAACATACACACACACACGCGCAATTAGAAATCGCTGCCGTGTTCCGAGCTGCTCTATTTCTCTTTCGAGTGACGCAACGGAGAATCATTCGATGTTTACGCTTGTTAGGCAAAAAACAAACTAAATTTCGCCACAAACAACGCAGCGAATTATTTCGTGTAATTAGGATTTACTACAAAATACGTATATACATATGTACACACGTCGTATCTCTCTCAACTCGGCGAAACTCGAATATTAACTTTACATCTCCCGATTGCACATCGTCCTGATTCTCAATCATTCTCAATCTTCATTTCCACAAACAGCTCCACATTCTCTAAATTAATAAATAAATATGTATACACAGCAGAAAAAGAAATACGTGTAATTAACATAATGTATGTTTTTGAAAAGTCCAAATTCATTAAGATGAATATTTGCAATTGAAATAAATCGTTTTTACAGTTATAGTTCACAGCTGTTATTGTCTGTATAATTAAATGATTTTAATAATGGTTTTAAAATTCTACTGTAACACTCAAATATCGTCTAATTAATGAAATTAGAAGCCGTGCGCACGCTTTAACTCGCAGATATACTCGAATGTATGTGCGAGCATGCTAAAATTTCATGAAGATTAGCAAGTAATGTCTCCATGCGTTTCAATGGCAAATTGTGTCGATTGCAGCACGCGAGTGATCAAGGCGAATGGCCCAAACATCGGGCGCAAGGTGAAAGTGACTGTAACCGGAAGGACGATACCGCCTCCGTCGAATGCGAGGCATCGGGAATCATCGTCCCCCGCCAGTCAGCCTAAGCGATCTCCTTCCTATCGGCCATCCACCAGCAGCTTACCGGAGAAGAAGATCACCGACCTCATGCGCAGACCGCTCAAGTAATTATATTTGCAAGCATACATCATTGTCCCGTTCATCATATATTCACGTTAGTTCTAGACGGACAAAAGGAAATTTAAATTTGATCAAGTTACATATACAATTTATCTCAATCGCAATTAAGAAGATGCAATATTCGAGGTGCACTGAGAAAAGAATATTTCCAAATTTATTTGTAGAACACAAATAAATTTCACTAGTTTATATTTCACAGAAATAAACTTTATATATCAAAAATACATTTTCAAGTATTTTTTTTCTCAATGTAAGAAGTACTTTTTTCTCAGTGATTAAAATTTAACAATTTTTTCCTTTGTCTCTCTACCGCACGCAACAATTAATAATTGACTCATTATATATATTCCCTTAATTATTTCATCATGTATATAAGTCTATATTATATATGTGTACTTGTACACATTTGTTTTTATATATAGTGAAATTATTAAAAGACAAATTCGTTAGCCGTTTGTCGATAAACGTATAACATATTTTTCCGCCCTCAACAGGGAAAGGCTTATCCATCTTCTCGCGTTGAGGCCATTCAAGAGACCCGAGCTCTACGATCGTATCAACAAAGGTAAGAGCCGCGACGAGATCCTAAGATGGATAATATCGTCTCTTAGCCTCGCGTTAAAATAATGTTTAACCGATACTGATACCAATTCGATAAATTGCAGAGGGTATGCGGGAGAAAGAGAAGCCTATCATGATGACGCTCCTGCGACAAGTGGCCAGCATGCGCGACAACTCGTATCATCTGCATAGGCATGTCTGGAACGATGTGCAAGAGGACTGGCCTTTCTACACCGAGCAGGAAAGGGCCACTATGAGGCGACGGAAGCCTCAGAACCTAACGCCACCCGGCTCCAGCGACGGATCCACTGGTACATACATCTTCATGTAACACACATATAAACAGCAGTTTATATGTCGCTCTTATATCCATACGCGCGCGTTGTGGTCAGTCGTCGTCCGTTCGTTGTGCTTTTTTACTACTCTGTAACGTTGGATATTATCACTTGCAGGCAGCGGTCAATCGCCCAATTCCATCCAGCCGGGCTCGCCGCCCGCCATCACGGCGCCACCACCCTCGCTGTTGGGCAACAAGAGGCCGGGCTATTATCAAGGTAACGACGGGTTACCAACGAAGAAGCCGCGGATATCGCACTATCGGAAATCCGAGGCCAGTTCGTCCAATATCAGCGGGGGTGAGAGCGGGAGGGCCAGTGGCAGCAGCAGTGGTGTCAGTCCCAGTGGCGTCGTCGGCGGTATTAGTAGTGCGAGTGGTAGTGGCGGCAACGCCGGCTGGGACCACCAGAGGCAACAGCACCGTGAGCGGCGCGGCGATTGCCGGCCTGAAAGAACAGCGAACAGTGATGTGCTGCGAGGTGGAATCGGCTACGGCAGCGGTAGTGGCTCTCGATCGTGCCAGACATCGCCCAGTGACAACATGGGCAACCAGGGCGCCGGTTACGGACGCGGTGGTGACAGTGCCGTCACGACGACCGGCGGACACGCCCGGAGCAGTTCGTTGGGCGCACTGTCGTCCGGCAGCCATAATTCCCACAGTAGTCCAGCTTACAGCAACACGATCGCCGGTGGGGACCGACATTATTACGCTGGCCGATCGGCGACGACGGTCAATGGTGATAATAGTGCCTGTGGTGGTGTCAATGTGGGTGCGAGTTTGGACAATGCCGCGCGTTTCGTGCCGAGTAGTGCGAGGAGTGATAACGTTAATGTTAATATCGCTACCGGTCGTCATGGCGGCAGCCCGAGCAGCGCGAGCGCCGACAGGAGGGATAGAAGCGACAGGAGTCGGACAGTCGTGAAGGAGGATAAGGACTGGGAGTCTTGGACGGTGAGTGGTAATGCGAACAGTGGGGCCTCCTTCAACGGTCACGCCGACATCGCCGCCGGTATCGCGCACTGCGATCCTGTGATCATCGAGGATAGCCCGGAGAGTCCGCATACTTTGGAAGATAACCAGCCTTCAGAGAGTCCAGCCTCCCCTCTGACGTTGGGGAGTCCCATGGCTCTGGACAGCTCTCAAGTCCCCCCCTACCTCATGTAAGTATTTCGCAATTGTCGTATCATCGATCACTATCAGAAGTCTTCGCACAAGAAAGTCGACGATAAGTTATAATCGATTACAATGAGATATCGGTAATTTTATGTTCAGATGGTCGCGAATTCGTTCGATATTATACGAAGCAGCCATTATAAGATAGTTGTTTCATTTGTTCAGGTACTACACAACAATAACCAACTTGGAGCAAAGGCGACGTTACAAAATAGCGTTCAACGCGCATTATGAGGAGTACCGAAGAGTGCACGCGGTAGTCGCTGAGGTCTCCGAGCACTTCTCACAGTTGTATCAGCGAATAACCGAGCAGGCGAACTTGGGGAACTTCAGCGAATGTCAGGTATTGTATCGCGAAATAACGATAATCGGAATCTAACCATGTTTCTCTCTTCCTTTATCTCTGTCTCTTGTCTATCAGCTGATCGTTAACGCATCCTGTCCCCATTTATCCGTTCCAGCGGCTGAAGCATCAGATGATGGTGGAATACCAGGAAAAGAAGAGGGATCCCGTACATACGGAGGCGAAGAAGCAGTTCAATTATCTGCACCATAAGCTGGCCCACATAAAACAACTGGTCCACGAATTCGACTCTCACAACTTCAACGAGAACGCGGAGTCGACGTCTAGTGGTTGCAGCAACGAGAGCAAGGACTTGGACAGTCGGCACTACTGACATAAACTTAAACGGCTGCCTCTCGTTCCCTGTCTTCTCTCGGTTGTCGACACGCTGCTGTCAACATCGCCGCGGAATCTGTGCTTCCTCGGCATGTTCCAAGGCTGACTCGTCTCACGGTCCACATGGTTCCTGGATTCTATCGCCGAAAGGTCAAGTGCATTCGGTCCGTTGCTCTCGGACCTGACGAGCTCGTTCGCAAGTGTAACGCGAGATACACTCCGCCTGCTGACCCTCCGCAGGATTTGGCTCCCCGTCGTCGGTTCCTTTGATCGAGATCGGTTCATGAGATTTTCGTCGCAGCGTTGCTGCTCGGTGCGTCGTCTCTGTGTCTGCAACACCACAATAGCGTGATAATTTGTTAGCTGTAATAATTTAATTATCAATAGTTTTAAACACACACACACACACATACACACGCATACCTGTACTTTGTTACATGAATTATCGTGCACTAGAATATGGCGGGATTCTCTCATACAGGTCTCATGCGGTCTCGCACAATTCTCTTCTTGCCGCTGGAACGAGAGGTGATCGCGTTATGTGCAAATAGTACTCTTTCTTTTTTTGCTTGCAACATTTCGAATTTTATGACATGTCGTCATTTGCAATTGTGATTTTTCCTTTTTACTCGTCGAATGCGATGCGTCGTATAGTCATCCGCGAAAACTTGATGACGATCTTGTCCTCTTTTGTAGAACTGTTGCCTTCTTAGAAGAATCTTGTTATAATATTCATTATATGTAGAGAATTTTACAGGAAGACCTGTGGTCTTACCAGAGTACTAGTGCTACAAAACCGAGAAAACCTGTGTACTTGTGCAATGTATTCTTGTTGGGCAATTTCGACGCGATTTTGACCGAGTACGCGATGCGACGAAATTTCGAGCCGAGCTCCTCCACGCTCGGGTCCGCGATAAAGATCACACGACACCGAATCCCCCAATGGTTTTATCTCCATAATTACATCCGTTCCACTGAGGACTGTCGTCGCGAAATGTCCGTTCGGCCACGTTGGATTAAAATACGAATTGAAAATTGGTCTTCTTCACATCGGATGCCCGATTACTTCTTGTATAGCTCGATTCGGCTAAATGATTTCAACAAATGTGACTCGCGGGATTTTCGTCGCGCGTCAGCGACGATAGAAATCAGCGTTCTTACAGCCCCTTTTGCTTTCTTCTTCCTGATACTCGTTGTTTTTATTCCGCGTTCGAAGAAGAGATCGCACACCTTGCCAAAAAGAATTCTAAGAATTGGTGCGTTAGCTTCGATAACGTCTGACCTGGTTCTTGTTTTTTTTCTTCTTTTTACAATTGACAGACTGAGCATTTTTTTTTATATTTTCAACGAGTGTAGTTTCGACGCACGACGTTGTTGCTTTCCCTCCCCCGCTCCGATAGCTAACGTTTGTTTCTCGTTCGTCGCGTGCGTTCTCCACGATCGCGAATATCTCGTCCGCACCGTCCATCGAGTCTCGGGCGCTAAGAGGAAGTGCTTATAGCAGCACGATGTGTTGATCGGATATGAGGTACTTATCAGAATTCTTAGGTGTGACGACGATGTCACGATGAAACGATAGACGAGTCGATCGATCGCAAGGCCGAACCCCGCCTCATCGTTCTGGCGCGACATGCTAAGAAGCATAGAAACGCGATCGTATCGGCATTTTTCTAAAACAATCTTTCTGTGCATGCGAATTCAGTCATCAACGATCCGAGGATCAAGCGGCGAGCGTAAACAGCTCCGCTGTTTTATCGTGCATCGTTGCTCGCGCAGGCTTGTGATTCCGATATTTTCCGAAAACCACGTCGTTCCTGGACACATTCGCAGCAATTGATCGCTCGATCGTCGCTGTGAGAACTCGAACAACTCGCGAGCGATAGCAACAGCAGCGCAGGAGGGAGTTTTAGGATTGTTGCTTAGATGAGTTATGTACCTCTCTTCTTGCTTGCTTTTCAGCGAGACCACGCGCGATTATTCTGTCTGTGCTATTCGAATGTTGTTATTAGCAAAGTTCGTAGACCCCAGACGATCTACGGAACGTTGAACGAATTTTAAACGCGAGTTATTTAATGATTCTTTTCTCCCCTTCGTTCTGCGACGCATAGTTATTTATAATCGAGTAATATATTGCATATATATAAATGAAATTGTTATATAAGAGACGGTCGTTTGTCGAATAGGCCTTTTATGTCGAAAAGGATACCGACACTCTATCGCGTATAATTTCGTCATTGTGCAATACGAAAAAGGAAAAAAAAAAGAAGGAGAAGAAGAAGAGAGTCACACTGTAGATATGTAATCTCAGTATAATGCTAAGCGCGCGGCCGCGTCGTGCATCGGTTCGCTTTATTCAGGACGTGCGACGCACGTAGAACGATACGATACATTTCGGTGGTTCACATCGTAACATGTGTGCGAAATATCGGGGAACGTAATCGAGGAAAAGGGAAGACGATCGCTGCCGAGTCGAATCTGTACGGCATGGTGACACCGGACGAGACGGAAAATAACACGACGTGAGTTGCGATAACGGCAAAACAATCCGGCATACTTCCGTGCGCGCATACTCGCATCATGCGTGCGCACAATGGAATTTATGTAAGAATATTGTAGAAATGTAATGTGCACGCACACATCATGCATGGTTAAGGAAGGAAGCGATAGAGGGAAAAATTTAAGTTTATTGACTGTAAATTATACAACTGGAATGTATAATCGTGATAATTTGTATTTAAATAATTTATGTAATCGTTGGAATTTTCATTTGCGTAGATTGTATTTGCAGTCAAAGAAATTGCTAGATTTATATATTCCGTTGTGGCAATTATGTTTCGATTTGCAAATTTATACTCGCGTAGATGTTTGTGTATATACAAAACATATACACATACATATATGTAATCTTTTGTATTCCGCGTTTTTTTGTTTCCTTTTACATACGATTTAAGCGTAAGTGATGTAAAGTTCTTAAAAAAAAATATTAAAGATTATTAAATTCTAAATTTCGAAATTAAAATTTTTTGAACAAGTTGGCAATTTTTTAGATCGGAGAGAAAAGGAATGATGTGTAAGAGATTTTTTCGCGTTTATTCCATTTATTACTTTAATACACTCGCTGTTCCGGTAGCGGATGTAAAACGTTTTGTCGGACTTTGCCGACGACACATACACAAGGACAGTCGCACACTGTGCCATACACGTGCGAATTGGCGCACGACGTTTCCCCGTTTTTTCCAAAGCTCGTCCGAGATCGAACGTTTTTTTCAGGTCTGTAGTTACCACGTTATACGAGTCAGTGTCCTTTGTAAATTGTACTATTTGTAAATAATATCGTGCTATCGATTATGTTATGCGAATCGGAAGGCGGTGTTCTTTGTTAGCTGTGAGTTGAAGGTTTCAACAAATCCTTTCGTCGTCCGTCGAACAGCCAATCGATTATCTTGATGATTCAGCCGCGAGAGAAAGAGAGAGAGTGAGAGAGAAAGAGTAGAAACAGTGCCAAAGAGACTGAACTGAAACGACGTTCAGATGCCAGAAAACACTATCGATTGCGATGTAAGTTAACTTGATGCGTGTTAACTTAAGCAACAGGCCCGGTATCTTTCGCGCTCGTCGCTTTCGTTAAACTCGAGCATTGTCCAAGCAATTGCGTTTTTCGTGAAAATAAGTGCTCTTAACGCTGCATTTAAACGACGTTTAAACGCTTGATCCTTGATTTCGTTATTGTTTCGCGAGTGAAGAGATATTATTATTAGCGAAGATCGCTGGTTCTCTTGTTATGAAAAAGAAAAATTTAAAAAAAGACAGAGAGAAAGAGAGAGAGAGAAAGAAGTAGAAAGGAGGTATCAGTCGTATTGTTCCGGAGTACTCGATCGTTTGGCAGAATAAGTTTGACGTAGGCTCGCGCGAGCAAGAAAAAAAACGCGCCTATAAACTGAGGGAGAGAAAGAGAGAGAATATAAATATACATTTTATACAGAAGAGAGAAGAATATATTTCTCGTAACAAAGGCCGCGCGAACTCTCGCTTTGAAGGAGAGTCAGAACTAGGAAAAGAAAAACGAAAAAAAAGAAGACAGTCTTCGCTTCTGCAGATTTATAGGGACGTTCGATTCTCCGTTTGAGAGGAACGCGTCTCGGTTGGTGGGTCTCCGGCGAAGCGTTGTGAATATCGTTCTTCTGAGATTCAAATTAAAACGCGAGGCTTTTCCCCTCGATCTCGTTTTCGAGTCGTCGCGGTTGCGCTCGTTCTACGTCCTGACTGGGTGTTGTGAAATCGCAAAGTCGAATACGGTAGAGAAAGAATGAGGATAGAGCAGAGAGGAATAAAAAATAAGATGATCGCGTCGCGGGGATGAAGTTAGTGTCCTTGTTTCTATAGATACGCTCGAATTACTGCCTGCGAAAGAAAAAAAAAGAACACCATCGGTTTCCCCTTGTAAACGTCTTGTCGTGTCACGCCTTCTCTCCGTTCGCTTGCGGTTCGGGTGGGAGCTTCGCGGACAAGATCGTCATATCTATACTCAAGGTCTAAACGATACTCTTTCTCGATTCGTTGGTGAAGAAAGAAAAGCGCGGGGAAAGAAACGGGATGGAAAAGAACATGAGGAAAAGGAACATAGGAACTCTCCAAGTGCCAATATTAGCCAAGCGTGAATTATTATTATAAATAATATATGTATACAAACACGTAAACACATACACGTACACGAACGCGCGCGAACACATACACACTCACGTACATACACAATACGCATATAGCGTAATTATTGCGTGCATTATCTCTTAGTGGTATACCACACTATGTGCAAAACGTAATCGAAAGAGAGAGGGATTCGTCAAGAGTCACATAGTCTTCGGGAAGTCGGCACCGAGTCTCTTCCTCGATCACAGAACACGGGTAATCGGTCTTGGCGGGCTCGCGCGTCCATGAGAGGTGTAATAATGAATAAACGGAAAGGAGGTCGCGTGGAGAAATTCGTGGGGAACCATGGGCGCAATTATGTCGCAGCTAATTAGCTACTTCGGTTTTCCCGGTCTGTCCTTCTGTTCTCTCTTCATCCCTCGACTGAGAAAAAGAGCGAACCCCATCCGATTCTCCCGAGCTCATTACAATAGGAAAAGAAGATCGTGATTAATCAATGATCTGCTTTTCGCTAGAACTTGGACGGAACCTGTCGGAGCGTACGAGCGTCAACAGGACGTCCTCTCTCTCTCTTTCGCGGGCGAATACAGACAGGGAGGAAGCTCACTTGGTCATCAGCCGACAGTCCGCTCGACTTTTGTTGGGTCTTTTCACACGCGCGATCGCGTGTCTCCGCAGGTGTTTCCACCTGCACTCGATCGCGCAATCGTGACATATCATTCCACGATTCGTATCCGTTCTCCATATCACGTACGAGAGGTGCGAGAGGATCCCCTTCTCACTGTCTCACGACGCGTTGATTTCGCCTAGCAGCCAAAAGGGCGGGAGAGAATCGAATTGTGAGCTCGGGAGCGGTCGCTCTCTTCCTCTGCCAGTTCGCGTCGATCAGAGATTCCGATTCTTCAGCCGAAACTGCGTTATACGCGTTGCGTGTACAAAAAAAAGAACTTTGCGTTAGGAAAGTATACGATGCGTCCAAGTCATTCGGAAGGGCACAAGTCGACGAGCGAAATGCAGCTAACCACAGTCCGCCCCTCTCTCTCTCATCGCCATCCTCGCGTTCACCCTCGGCTGCGAAAGTTCGGTCTCGAGCGCGACTTTCGATACCGAGAGCCTCTCGTGAGTCGTCGTCTCCTCATCGCGCAGCTATTCGTCGACACACTCCGAGCAATCGGAATCGCGATCTTGAACGCGTCGCAGCTATAGGGCTTCGTTCGGAACGAAGAAGAGCCGTCCTTCGTCGCGCCTTCCGCAATATTTGATTGCCTCTCCCGCAGATTTGTCGCTTTGCTCTCGTTTTTCCAACCCCTCCGCCCTCAAGTCCTCTTCAGCCCTTTTAATTCGCGTCACACTCGACAGCCAGGTAGCCGTCTGAACGACGAGACAATTGTCCGTTGCGTCGCGTAGTACTATATACTTTTTGACTCTCTGTGATTTGTGTTGTTAGGCACTTCGTAATACATTAATCGCCCGTGCGACGACGACGATGACAATAGACGCATGAAAGAGTTTCCCTCCGGAGGGAGACGTTAACCCTTCGTCTACCGTACGACTCCCGTCCGTGAGATCCGGCAAGCTGTGTGCATTTACGGTGCAATCAGTCGAGAGGACTCCGCGATACTCCTTCGCGTCGACTTATCGTCCGTTGTCGTGAGACTGTGTGTTCTTTCGAGCACGTAGACAAATTTGCAAGAGTATTCATGGGTCCTCCGATGAACCACGACGCAGCGTTCGCGTTGACGAAGGGTTGAAGAAACGGCGGCGTTTAACACCTTGACTGTCGCGCCTAGTTGGGGTCCCCGACGGGCCAGAATTCTCTGGTCGCCGAATGCAATCGCGTACAGACAGTCGGTGAGACTGTCAAGTAGTCAACGAATCGATCGGCGAACATTTCCCTCGATAATTTCCAAAGGTGATTCACCGATTCGCTTATCACTTCTTCAGTCTTACCAAAGTCCCGCAGCTCTTATCTATCAAAACCCGCACAGTCGCGTAACACGTGTGTAGAAGAGGATCAAGCGATCACGCGACAAAAGCGTGCGTCCTTTGTATTACACGATCGGTCAATTCTCTCGCGCGACTATGCGAGTTTGGAGAAAGTCCTGCCTGCTTGCGTTTCTCTTCTGCGTGCTTTCTGTGGCTCCGAGACATTAGCAGCCGCGCGCGAATTACGCTCAGTCGGGTGGGGAAAACGCTTGGTGGAATTATCCCCCAGTTGGGTGGAGGAAACGACTCCCGCAGCAACTCGCGCCTCATGCTGAGGTGAGTGGCGCGCGACACTCAGGGTGTTGAACGCGAAGAAGCGTGTCGAGGGCGAGGCGGCCCGTCCTGACCGGCCATACGTGCTCTCGCGGTTCGCTAACGGGGAAAGGACCTTAGAAATCCGAGCAAGGGAGGAAGAGGCGCGCGGTGACACTCCACGGCGGACGCAATCGTTCGACGTCTCAGGACGATCGAAAAGAGCAATCGCAGGCGTTCGGACGTTCGCGTTGCCCGCCGTTATCATATGCTCATATCAAAACAGGAGTCAATCCTATCACGGGGCGGTGGAGACCGATCTTGTTGTAGTCCTTCATGACCCACGATCGATTACTCTTCTCGATTACTCCGAACACGTCGAGACTTTCTTTTCTCTTTTTTATCTGGTTTCTTTTTTGCTTTTGAGCACCGACTTGAGGTCTTTCTCCGTGCCAATCGTCGAAGTCGGAGAGACGACTCCCTCGAAATTTCAACCGCGTGACGTCAAGTCCAAACTACCAAGTGCAACTTTCGAGATCCTCGACAGACGAGGATGAGATATTACGAGGAGAACGATCTCTCTAGAAAAAAAGAAAAATTCGTCGTCTAATAGTCTAAATCGAGGCGAACAGGAAATACTCCCCGCGCTAGGCACGAAGTCCCAAATGAGATATTTCGCGCATATTTCCGTAATTAAGAGTAAGTTCCGGGTTGAAGTCTCGCGCTTCTACGTTAATCCTGCCACAAATGTATATTTATCGTTCTCTCTACGTTGAGACTTGGAGAAAGGTTTCTGAAGAATTATTTATTATCTTTGTCCTATCAATAAACAATGTATTAATTGTATGTAACCAACTTGACAGTGGATAGAGATAGAAATCAGCAAATACTAAGTATTTACAATTCACGTTCGCGCAACGGAATTCGCAGGGTTAATGTAGGGCCAAAATTTTTTACTCGGGATTGTCATTGAACGTGAAGAGGGGAAGGGATTGGCTCGCTCGACGTGGAACCGCGTTTCAAAGATCGGCAGAAGCGAGCCGAGCTGTTCCGCGCGATCGATCACTACCGGGAGAGACGAAAAGAAAGAAAGAGATATCGGTCGCCGCACGCTCTCGATCAACGAGCGGAAGGGATATTTTATAAGTGCTTAAAGAAGAAACAAAAAAAAACCAAAAAAAAAACAAGACACATTGCGTGAAGCGCGCTCGGATGACTGACAATTAAGTGACTTAAGGAGCACGATCGGTGGTAGTTTTAAGTTTTAAAAGCACCGATCACGCGAGGGTGAAGCAGGTGAGACGACGAGAAACAAAAAAAAGAGAATGGACTTATATGCGTATGCTACTCGTATCTGTATATATATATACACACACATATCTGTATATATACATACATCTGTATATATATATATACATATACGGACACACGTACGTTTTCGTTTAACTTTTACGAGAAAGAGAGAGAGAGAGTGTGAAAATGAGTGAGAAAGAGAGCATGATAGATAGATGAATATAAAGCTGAGGATGATATAGAGATAATGACGATGATAACAATGATGATGACGATGGTGACGAACCAGGTGACTCGAGATTGCATGTGTAGGTATACAATGTACCCCGTGATCCTTTTATTGACGACGACTGCATTGCCCCCTTGACAAAGGCTCGTATATTCATTACATAGTTGTATTTGCAATTATTACCTATACATATATATTATATTCACTAATTAAAGTATACAAAGCGAAAAAAATGCGAATAAAGAGGAATTATATTGTTAGCGAGAGGGGAGATTTCGGGACCCGCTCGCGTGGAACGTGTGCCGCGGCCGATTGAGCTGTGAGAGAAAGAGAGAGAGAAAGAAACAGAGGTAGAGATAAAGAAATCGCGCGGATCGATTAGGGAAACGCGGTTCTTTGCTTCCTACACCCCCCATTAATCCTCCGACGCACTTTGTTCCGCCATAGAACGAACAATTTGACGGGATTGTTATTGCGTACGTGTATTTCGGGTAAAAATTGCGCCTCATATCGAGATCTCGAGAATGAAAGCAAACTCGTTCGCGCGGGAATCGTCGAAGAAACACGCGACTCCAGGTTGAAGCTTCCCGGTGTGAGCCTCTAGATAGTGTGTGTGTGCGCACACTCGTCAGACTATATCGATCGTCCGAAGTAACTTTGAGCAGCCTTTCAAATTAAACTAGGCGCCGCCAATGGACGGATGATGACGGGAAAGGGGAGAGCGGCGGAACAGAGAGGACGATGTATGAAAAGCCGGGATACGCCCCGGAGGGTTAATAATAATCCCACCAACCGCGTTTCCCTCAGCCCTTTCGTCTCGCGCCTTCCCGCCGGTGTTTCGTCGGCCTTCCGATCGTGTCTTCGATTTTCTACCGGGACGTGCAATCGTCGCGGCCTCGCGAGGGACTTAGCGATCCGCGAGGCGCGACTCGTTCTAAACGACTGTTAGTATACTCTCGCGTCTTCTCTTAGTCGATCGTACCGGGCGGCCCTGGAGAACAATAGAGATCGATCCGCGCGGACTCGGAGTGTCCGACGGCAAGATGACGATCGTCGTCGTCCTCGTCGTCGTCGGTGCGCCATTCAATTGTTACCGGGAAGATCGAGTGATCAACTGAATTGAAATCAATCGATCAGAGACAGCCAGAACGTCCCTCGGGTGGAAGTCTCTCTCTCTCTCTCTCTTTCTCCTCACTTTCTCCTCTCTCTTTTTCTCGGATCCGCGTGTGCAAATCGTTCGAGCGATCATCGCGATTTCGTCTCTCGACGAGAGACGTTCGGGCGAAAGAGCTTTCCCCAGTCATCATGTTCCACGTGAGCTTCTCTATCCGAATGGGCCGTGCGCGCGTGCTTCTGTTCTATTCGGAAAGGGCAAGCTAGTGAGAGGCGAATCAATGATATATACTTCGCGCCGCGATCGATGATGAGGACGATGACGATGACGTTTACGACGAGGATGACGGCGAGTGCAAGGAAGAGAGTGAGATAGACAGAGAGAAATGAAATATATATATATATGTGCGTTGCGTTGCGTTGCGTTGCGTTGCGTTGCGTTGCGTGCGTCTTCAGACGAGCGTCGATCTGGTGGTTCGCGCAGTGGCGACCGCGAAACCGAGATTACGAGAGCGAGTTTGCGGAAGATGCGTACTGTACATACACTGGGACCGAGAGATCGCGCGTGCGCGCGCCGAGAATCTGCGCGGTTTTTCCCGATTGCCTCGTCGAGAACGCTGCGATGATTTCCTCATCGCGCGCGCACGCGCCCTCCGCTGGGGAAGAGCACGAAAGAGAGCGGAAAGAAGGCGGCTCGTCTCCGTTTAATCGCGCTAATTTAATTTGTACATAATTTCCTTGTGAGCTGAACCCTCGTTGTCGTTGTTAATCTTCCAGTTTTGCGTTGACTCGAGACCAGGCCTCCTGTCCGTTGTTGCATCCGTGTAATCGCGTTCCGTTGTCGCGCGCGGTCTGCTGGGGAAGACTTCGCTTCGAGGACACGTGGATCGAGGGCGAAGGAGAGTCGCGTCCGTGGTGTCGATGTAGTCGCGGAGAGAGATTCGCCGGCCGTTCTCCGGGCGTTCCTCGGCGAGCACGATCGCTCGCTCGCTCGCGCGACGCGTTCTCGAGTTTTGCGAACGCGCGCGCGACGAACTGATCGGCTGCTCGTCACAATCAGTTAGCACTTTCGCTTCTATGGGTGATTCTTACTTAAAGCTGAGACGTCTCGTTCCCGTGGCGAAGCGAACGTGGCAATCGATCGGCCGAGCTCGCGGCGAACGAATCGCGCCGTCGTCGGGACACGAGCTCTCGTGGACGAGTCGGAAATGCCAGGGCACATCCGTGACTTCCGTCCCGCGCGCGCAACGTAAGCCGCGTCGAGCTTCTCGCGCACGAAGCGGCCGCGAGAACCTCGTCGTCCTTGTCCTCCGTAATCGTGCAAGCATTCTCTGTCCATTTTTACGCAGGAGTCGCGTCGTCGTAGGTCCAAGCAGGCGATTGACGGAGTGCCCGGCGAACCACCGTGAAAAGGAAGTCCCTTCGCACCGAGCTCACAATGAGAACACCTCTTGGAAGACTGTCTTCCCCGTTCATTACAAATTTGACAACTCGATTACGAAATTCCCGTGAAATCGATCTATACTTCGTCGTGGAATTTCCGAGCGAGAGAGGGACTTGGTTCGGTGGTTCGGGGAGCACTCTGTACGAACGTAATAATTAAATAGATAGACATCGAGAACACGCTGGCATAACGACACGACGACGTCCGCGTAGAGCTCGTTCCCGAACGCAACGAGGCGCAATCTCTCCGGATTCGTGACTTCCATAAGCGAGGCGAGGTCGCGAGAAAAACGCGACGAGCTCGAGCCGATTCTCCGATTCGAACGGGCACTCTGACTAATTAAGAAAAAAAAAGTACTATATTTATTCGAACGACTTGCCAAGTTTTGTTGCACACAGTGTACGCGAGATAAACTCACGCGGCAAAAGAAAATCATATAAAAAAAAAGAGAAAGAAGGAGAAGGAAGAGGAGATAGGATGGTTAACGATAGGAATGATCTGGCAGGGTTTACGGATGAGTTGCGTAGTTACTTGAGCGGTTTCACGAAATATTGATGTATATATCTTAAGTTTGTATTATAACTTCCCTCACTTAATTTGTATGAAATGAAGAATTTCGAACATTATAAAGCCAGAATGAAAAAAGAAGCACGACTTGATTTCATTTCCACGATCCTCGCTCTTATCCTTGCCTACCTATAAATACAAATACGAACAGCATCCAAAAAATTGACAATTTACTTTTGACTCAAAAGTAAAAAAGAGGTAAACTTATATATTGATAAAAAGATAAAGTGTAATTGGAGTAATTAGTGTAATCAGAGTTATTTGTTTTAAGTTACGTTAATATATAAGTACAGTATTTCTAATCACTGTCCATCGCATAGGCGCAAAATACTGAATACGGCTGCTCGTTCAACCGACTGTACTGATTAAAAATGTACGTGTTGAAGTAATTTACTTGACCTATTCGTATCTCATAAGATACGATCTAAGAAAACTTTCACGAAACGTTGAAAACAACTTTTTACTAACTCTATAAAGTGATTCCTTTGCCCTTTTTATCACTTTCTATATGCCTCCTTCAGCATCGTGAGTTTCCTATATCTTCCTCTTATTTTTGCATTTTAATCTTCTAACTTGCACAGCACCTGTCTTTCCAATCCTTGCATCATCATGTCACGTCTTCTACCGCTTTCAAAAAATTCAAACGAGTTGGCGATATTGATCTTGATCGATTAGCGACGAGCGATCTAAAGCGCTCGGCTCTCGATACAACAATCATATTTAACAGTTTATAAACGAGAGCAAGTATCTCAGAAAGCTTATTTCTTACAATATCAACATATTATTAATCAGTCTAAAAGTCTGACTCTAGATATCATAGAAACTTCGGTTATGATTAAAATTGGAAAGCTGAGATTTTTGCGTATATGATTAAAACATAGTCGTTCGTTTTGATATTCAAGATCGATTAGTGAAATGAAATGCGAAAGTGATATGTCATTATCTAGTTGCAATTGGGCTATTAATACATTAAACGAAATCTATAATAAAGTAATCTATAGTAAAATATAAAGAATATAATCATATCTCGACGTAGCTTTATTTATTACCGCGATTTTAATCACGGAGATTTGTAACAGACTGCCTTAAAAAGACAGAATCACCAAGTAAACGCAGTTGAGAGTATCAGTAATGAGAATCGGATCTAAAATCAAACTTATTATCGTACAATCCGCTTATTAACGTTGCTGTATACATTACCTAGCGTTATTACGAAAGTTTCAAGAGCGACGAAAAATTATCGGGTCCGCAACCCTTATAGAAAAGTATCACTGGCTGTGATAAATTGGCCAGTAATAAATAGTAATTTTACTACTCGTACGAGTAATAAAATTATTGAACGACAGTAATTATCACTGGCCAAATTATCACTTATCAGTATTAAATTTTTATAAGGGAAGTATACGCAATTTAATTTAATCCTGTGCAAGCTATTGTCCTACCTTGTTCTGCGTCCTGATTTCCCAATCGGGAATACTAACTTCTAGTTGCTTCGTTATTTTTAATATTCACTTGTGGCTTCAAACCTGATATTGGTCCTTACACTGACATTGATATTATCGCATTGGCACTGACACATTGCCGTCCTGTCACTGAGTATCCTGTAGACCGATTCTCTAATTTTATAACCACGATGTCGCTAGCATAGTGTATTATTGCGCAGCTTTTATATCATGTACGATATCTGTATAACAACATAATTGTCGTTACAAGTTGAGGCTTGTCTATACGTGAAATAAGCTTGGTGTAAGAAGTAAAAATAACTTGCTTCACTTACGCCTGTACTTCAATCTTCTTACACTGCAAGCATTTCTTTCACTTAAGAGAAACATTTCCGATGTAAGAGAGTTAGAGTATAGGTGTAAGCGAAATAAATTTTTTTTTATTTCTTACTCCAATTATAAATCGAACTTACTCCGCGTACTGTATACAACCCTGGTAAAAAAAGTTGATAGAAAACGATGGAGAACGATAGAATTTCTATCAATTTGTATTGTTTTCTATAAGCTTTATCGTTCGCAGGCGTCAACATTCGCGAGCATCAGATATAAATCTTATCGTATTTTATCTAGTTCTATAAAAATTGGGTTCTATTTGTATAGAAAACTGACGGAGTGTATGAAGTTGGCACCCCACTTTTTGAAATTTATAATTTTGAAAGTTGTTCCAGATTGTTCTGACTTTGTACCACATTGTTCCAAAGTGATATTGCTTCATTCGAAACGGTTTTCGAATAAACAAAAAAAAAAATGATTTTTTGAGCTGGCACTCCACTTTTCGAAAATCGAACATTCTGATACCGCAATAGATTGTTCTAGTTGTTCCAAACATTGTTCCAAAAGCACAAATCAATAAGTTTAATTATAAGCCCGAAAAATTAAAAAAAAGTTTTTTGACAAACAGTCTATCGGACCAAGAGTAAACTTATACTATCTTTCTTGTTCCAACCGAGATCTTTTTGTTCTGAGTTGTTCTAGGCTTAAGAATTATAGTTCTAGAGTATGAGACTCATAAGATCATTCGTTCTCCGAAAATTCGTAAAAAAATCGATTTGACAGTACTCGACGTCAAGAGTAAACACATGCTTCCTTTCTTGTTCCAACCGAGAAAAATTCATAACTTAACAATATATTAAAATTAACAAAAATATTTTCAGGTTAAAACTATTTTCTTAAAAAAAAAAGTTCTATATACTGATTTAAAAAAGTATAATTATTTGGATGATTGAAAATAAGGATGATTGAAATATATTTCTGAGGTGACAAAAATTCAAGAAAAAGATGATTTCTTACAAAAATTAATCTTTATTATAGGAAAATTGGCGGAAATAATTACAAAATGTCATGACAAAATAAAGTGAAATTGCTTCGTCGTTTAAGCCTAGTATAACTCAGAACAAAAAGATCTCAGTTGGAACAAGAAAGGAAGCATGTGTTTTCTCTTGACGTCGGGTGCTGTCAAATCGATTTTTTTTCGAATTTTCGGAGAACGGATGACGCTACGAGTCTCATACTCTAAAACTATAATTCTTAAGCCTAGAACAACTCAGAACAAAAAGATCTCGGTTGGAACAAGAAAGATAGTATAAGTTTACTCTTGGTCCGATAGACTGTTTGTCAAAAAACTTTTTTTTAATTTTTCGGGCTTATAATTAAACTTATTGATTTGTGCTTTTGGAACAACTAGAACAATCTATATCGGTATCGGAATGCTTTATTTTCAAAAAATGGGGTGCCAGGTCAAAAACATTTTTTTCATTTTTTGGACTTATAATTCAACTTACGGATTTGTCCTTTTGGGACAATGTTTGGAACAACTAGAACAATCTATTGCGGTATCAGAATGTTCGATTTTCGAAAAGTGGGTTACCAGCTCAAAAAATCATTTTTTTTGGTTTATTCGAAAACCGTTTCGAATGAAGCAATATCACTTTGGAACAATGTGGTACAAAGTCAGAACAATCTGGAACAACTTTCAAAATTATAAATTTCAAAAAGTGGGGTGCCAACTTCATACACTCAAACTAACGATAGAAATTCTATCACTATCTATCGTATTTTATTGTATACGATAGGATACTATTCATATTTGTGAATTCACGAACCAAAATCCATATTCAAAACGATGGACTGATAGAATTTTATTCTATCATTCTCTATAAACTTTTTTTTACCAGGAAAGTCTTTACAGAATCGACTACTGGCTTTTGACTGATCAAATCGAGGCATTCCGAATATTCACTTGTGGTAATAACGCGAACGACAAACGCGCGATGTTTTTTCTCAAAAGCCCCGCCCGTTCCGCGACGTATCTACATTCTGGTTGTTTGACGTATCTACATTCTAATTATTTGACAAAAATCTTGTCATGAGCAACGCACGATACATACCTTCAGTACTTTCGACGATAATTCGGCCACTGGACCAGCATCCGGTGAGTCAAAATAGCGAAAACGAAAGGATTCGTGGAATACATTTATTCTCTTGCCTCGTCAAGATCTATTTGAAGTCTCAGTGTCACAAACTTTTATATGAGATAGATTCTACCAACCGAACGCTAGACAGCCAAATAAAGAGTCTAAAAACGGTATTCATAGTCGGATTTAAGATCGCCTTAAGTTCATCTTCAGATGATGTACGGATTATTTCATTAGCTACGGAATATCTGAAAAGAACTTAAGACGGCTTAAGTATAACACTCGACTATAAAATCGGTCTTAGAAAATTATTAGACCCGTTATTTCTGCGTGGATGTGCAAATTAGTTCCAAAGTCTCCGCTACAAGCCGCCACTTTCCTGAACAAGAAATCGAGCTCGTGGTAGGCGTCGAAAATTCTATTTCTGTTATACTTTAGTTAATCCAGTCAATAACTTCGATGATAAATCAACCATAGCGTTTTCTTTATCTTATTACTAGATTTAAGATCGGATAGACCCGTACAGTTTTTTACACCCTTTATTCCTAATAAAAAAAAAATGAACTCGTAGTATGACTAAAGAACGAGTCGGACGCGTCTTCTCTTTATCAAGTAGTAGAACTCAACGACGGATCAGACGTCCTCTTGTTTTATCATCATAAAAAATAGAGACAGACTCGCTTGATAAGAGTTGACAAGCAGAAAATATGCTTTACCATTTGTTTCAAAATATGGTTACTAAATTCTACGAAAGATATTTATGTGATTTTAGTTCTAAATTCGCAAATTTTACAAGATTTGTGTTATATTTTGAATTATACTCGTTGAATTTTGGCCGTCCGTTTATCATAGAGGAAAATTAATTGTTTAATATCTGTCTGTCTTTAATTTGCACAACTTAGGATCTTTAAAATTAAAAAAATTTCAACTGGTGATTAATATGAAAGAACGAGAAAGTAGTTGCGACTTAAAAATTGATCTAACATACTTCGTAGTTTAAAGTGTTTACCGTTGAACGACAAGACGGGAGACTTTTTGTTCTTCAGCACGATCGCACAGTGAACTGTATAAACTTTATCATCTTCATTGACTTAGGAGAAGCAAGAGAGAAATAGGAAAGAATCATGGACATCTATTTCATTGGTCTAACATCGCCCATCCCCAATTGTATGTCAACGTCCGCGCGCATGCACCCACCGGTCGCTGGACGTGACAGGTGTTCGTCTGCTTCTCATTGTCGATTACATGTCTAATCGAGGAAACATCGTGACGACGACTTATACGAGAATGATAAACCGCATGATCGCAGCCGAGAATGATCGTCGCAATTTCTCTCCTCGAGAAATAGAGCTCGTGTGATTTTTCTCAAACATCCTCACCGTGCAAAGTAAAAACTATGAACGCCCGGGAGGTGAAGGTGAGCTTATCGTTTATACTTGTGATTATCAGTGTTGAATTAGAGCTAGATAATATTCCGAAGGAGATTGCACGCTTATATAATGTATTTCGTATTAATTGAATTCTATCGAAACATATACAGGTTTGTCACTAACCTCTAACGTCAGAATCTGCAGTACTATATGACACATATTATATGACACGAAACTAACGAAGAACGTTTCTTTCTTTTTGCTTAGGTGGACATTTTTAAGCAGCAGGGCAACGCCTGCGTGAAAGAACAGAAATATGAGGAGGCGTTGTTTTATTACACACATGCAATCCAGCTGGATCCGCAGAATTATTCTCTCTACAGCAATAGATCCTTTGCCTTCCTGATGATGCGACAATATCACTTTGCCATGCAGGATGCCTTGATAACTATTCAATTGAAACCTGACTGGTCTAAGGTATTTGACTTCATTGTCATACAAATCATATATGTGTATATATATATATATATATGAGAAGCATGCATGTCTGAAAAATTACTAACAACTTATATCTATTTCTTCAAATTTGACTGTAAGATTTAAGATAATAGATAAAATAAAATAAGCACATTATTATAACTGTACACTTTGTTTCAGGGTTATTTCAGGAAAGGTGAAGTTGAACTGAGGACATTCCGTTTCAGCGATGCACTTCAGTCTTACAACAAAGCCCTCTCCCTGCAGCCAAGCGAGTCTAGGATTCTGGAGGCTATGAATACAGCATCCAAATTATTGATTAAAGACAGAAGAGGTACTACAAAACAGTAGTTGCAAAGCATTCATTGTGGAATTAGGACACAACGAAATTGTACTGTTTCACAGCTGATCAGCAGATCCCGTGGCTTGGAGCTGGTGTCGGTATTATTTTGGGAGTTATAGTTGTGATTGCCGATTATGTATTCACAAACAAGCCCATTTTAACGGTAATAATTCGTGTTTTATATCTTGAAATTATTGCTGGGACAATCAAGAATAGCTCCTTATAATCACGCGTGCAATATAATTCTATTGTACTCTGTTTCTTGGGCAGCATCCTCTGCTGATGGCGTTGCTGACAATGTTCATATCCATACTTGGCTTTGGCATCGCAAAAGGATTTCGCTACTTCGTGAAATGTCAAAGAAAATCCTTACTGGAGCCGCCCGTCTATTGCTTCCCCAAGCAGAAGCAAAACTTTAATAATATTGATATGGAAAAGAGCAACGAGAAGGAGAAGTATCCCAAATACAAAAGGGCCCAACCGAGACAGCGATTCCGCAACTGGAGATTGTAGTGCATCTCGATGATTTGTCGATGCGCGTGCTTGAGCACGTCGGATCGGGAGATGCAGTAGCGTTTAGTCAGGTACATAAAAATAATGCGTGACGGGCGTCTGGCTGTGAATCGCGTCATTGTCTCTCGTCGAGCGTTACCACTGTTATCTTTCTTTGTCTTGCAAAAGGAGTTTCTAAAAGCTCCATTACTTCGTATATATTACACGCTACTTTCGATTTTGCAGAAGAACGGAGAAGTGTTGAAGCGAATACTTGCCTCGACAAAAATCGAAAAATCGCTTCGAATCGATCGAAGACTGCAAAAAAAAATTGACATAACTTCGCAAAAAACGATCGTAGAGCGATGTTTTCGGATGCCATTTTAAAGCTGGAGGCTTTGTACTTTCAAACTTCGCCGAGCTTTCTTCCTGATGATGCTTCCCGCAGTGACGCCACTTCCAAGTCAGCCGCAAAAGATTGGCAGCAGAACTTCACCTTTGACAACATGTATGAGGAATTTTTCTTTTTTTCTCGACTTTGATTTCACTCGAGACAGTTTGAAGAACTTGGCAGGAAACAGAAAGAAGCTAGTCGAAACTCGTGCTGGTGATCAAGTGGTAATCGATAGTTCCTGCTTTTCTACCGGCGCGAGTTCGGATTAATCTATGCTTTTCTCTTCTTTTCTGTCAGAAGGCTTCTGCGTACTCATCGCGGCCATGTTGGATTGTGAGGTCATAGGCGAAAGATTACTTCCAAGTACAAAGACATTTGTTTGGAAGAATACTTTGGATCGTTTGAACATGCTTGTAAAATGCTCCGAGAAAATTACCCTTTTCTCTTGATAGTCAAGAAATAGCCATAAAATAAACATGGAAAAATCACGAAGAAAAGTAGATTAAAGAGGAAGGTTGCACGTCACGTTAATATTGGGACTGTTCATTGACTGTCGAGGGAAAAGGACAGAGAGTTCTCGATTTTACAGAATAAGCGATCAGAAGTTCTTTCACACAAATATCTTCTGTATTTAGAAATGGCGCGTAAGAATTTTGGATATGCATTTTCTTGCTTCTGACGTCATCAGAGTTCCGCAGCGAGTATCCAGGAGCCTTAAAGCCCCCCCTCTTTAAAATGTATTTCCGGAAATAAAGTTACAATTTTTTTCATCGATTTCTCGCAAATTGAAGTAATCCGTGCACAGTTTTCAGTGGAAATCTACGGTGTGGCGTCTTGGTCGCGGATTAAGAGATTTCCAGGTTCGATCAAAACGAGCCAACAACAATCGCGCGAAGTTCTCGAAACGAGGAACATAAGCTGACCGCTCGTTAACGATCGCACACACGTGGCCGGCAAGTTTGATTATCACACGGATCACGGATAAAGTGTGAGCGTATTTTTTCTAAAACTATCCAGATTTAGCGGGATTAGCAGCGCGTATATATCGCGCGTGTTTGACACTCCGGCCTCTTACGATTCGCTTGGATGAAACCCAGCAAGAAACGTCGTCTCTAAAGATTCGCACTCGTGATTCTTATACAACGAAGTATGTACACGCGTGTCGGGTTTAGCATTTAAGAGTAATGACGCACTTTCTCTACACCTTTTTGCACTATGCAGCATATATGTATATCGAAGGTGCGCCTAAGCGCATCGATCTAGGATTTCGATTGATATAATAATGTATTGAATCAAGTCTTCGATCGAGAGACGTCCCATCCCGTTCAGTTCTCGCAGGAAACTAACAGACTCTACTTATTATAGTTCGTGAGTTCATAGTTTATCGATTATGATTCATTGACGATTCGAATGTATCGATTATTAGTCACATACACACTCATACAAACGCGCGTATCCCCGCGACCTGTGAATCACGAGCTCTCTGTTCGCAACGTCGCATAATTATCCAATAAAGATGAAGCTACAAGACAAAACTGTGTAAACGATGTCGATACACATGATATATAAATACAACCGATTCTCGAAACGAGCGACTCCCATTCCCGTTTCCATTTTTTCGAGACGCGTTTCATTTCCGTCGAGTTATTGGAAATAAAAGGAACCGCGAAGATATGCACCGCACGACGAAGTGAGAGGAGAGGAAGGGACAGTTGCAGGAGATCTACGAAGCGGTTTTCGAGCGTTCGACATTTCCCGATTGCGACTCACTTTCGAAATCCGCCTCGAATTCTCGCCGTAGAGCGCAAATAATAAAAAGGAGAAAAAGGAGAGGGAGAGGAGATGTAACGGGGACGAAGAGCAATGTCAGAAGCAATTTGACGCACGGCGTTGTGATCCCATTTCCACTTTGATCGATATTAATTTATTTCTCGTCCGCGGAGAGAGATAATTCGCGTATCTCCGCCAAGTGGAATGCACTTTCCATTACAGCTGGTAATGGATGTAACGCGCCTCTCGCAGGATCCTCCCGAGAGCGCTTTCTACATTTTTGGGTACGTCCAGCGGCCTCCTTCCTTTTCTATCTCGCGTATGATCCTGACGGGAGATTACTCACGGGCGCTCGGACGCGCATGCGTTTCATTGACGTTCGCGGCAGGCATACTACGACTCAGCTTGGCCGGTCATTTCTCTCGGAACCTCGGGACATCGCGGTACGGCAGCTCTTCGACACGCGAGGCGAGGCTCATAATAAAAATCTCCAAGAGGGAGAGAGACAGAAAGATCCTTCGTTACGAACCGGCCACGGTTGTAGCGAGTCACGCGAATGAACGTGATGAGAAGTCAAGAGCAAAATATTGACGCAAATAAAGAGAACAAGCATGAGGAAGAGAGATCGTAGAGTCCTATCGACGAGTTTCGTATTTTCGACGTTGCGAGTCGTCGTTATTGTCGCATTTTCGTCGTCGTCGACGTGTGGCAACGTCGAACTTTCGGCGACATCCGAAAACAAACTCGCCGGAATTACGGCCGATTGCATTTCTGCAAGAACAGAATGGAAGGAAAAGGGATGCCCACGAGGGGAAAGAGAGAGAGAAAACCGTTGGGTGTTCTCCGTCTCGCTGCTGCGAAACATCGGTCAACGACGCGTGTATCTTGCGAGAGGGATTCACTTCTCTCACGCGGCCGTGTCGTACCCGAGCAAAGACGTAACGTACGATGCACGTATGTGCATACGTGACTCCACTAACAGAATTATATCACGTCTTCGGAGGCCGCACGAGAAGAGACGTGTCACGAACGAGCGAAGATGAGCGCCTTCTGAGCGAAGGAAACGCGCGGCAACAAAGGAGCCACGATCACGACGAAAAAATGATCGCGGACATTGAAGCTGCGGGAAGCGCTGAGATCACCAGCGTGTACGTGGCCATTATGTAAAAGAGCGCACGCGGCATCCGTCGTTACGCGCCCGTTACATCGTTCTCGCCTCGCGAAAAATGGCGACGAGCTCTTACAAGCGAGGCGTTTCCGGGGAGAGAGAACGCGTTTTCCGCGCGGGTACCTCGCAGCAGCTGCAAAGGAGAAGATGAGTGCTCGCGCGTCGGGATTTTCGAGCTTTCCCCGTGATCGAGGATTCATTCCGTCAACGGGATTCCCGGGAACCTGATGAGAGCTGCGTGTGAGCTACGCACTGGGCTCGCAGCGGTCTGTCGCCGCACGCTTCCGTCGTTCCCGTCAGTTCTCGGTTTTTCGACGAGATCGAGGTTCGCCTGGCGCGAGCTCGGAGAACCGAGGGCGCTGTGCCGGAAGCTCGTCCAAGTGCTCGTCGCGCTATGCCGCCGCGGAAACGCGCTCACAACGAGTAGAAACAGGAGAAAACGCGTCCGAGACGCCCTGCGATTACAGACGTCTGGTCTTGCTGGACGATCCGGTCATGTGGCGCGTGCGCGCGTACATGCGCGCTGCACGCCAGGCATGACCGGCTCCACAAGGGTGCTGAGAGCGACCCGCAATTGCTAAATTCAAGATGCTCGGCGCTTTTCTGTCCCGCAATGTTTCCCGCATGTTTCCCGTCACAATTCACGTGTGAATGCATGTAACGCAACAGAATGGGATGAATCTTTCCTCATCACCGAGTTGTGGTGAGGGACGTGTTGTTCAGTAAATTTTACATTACTTCCTCATTACGGCGAGAGTTCACTTTTGTCATTGCGATAAAGTTCAATTGGATCGGACTGTCGTGTCGATTGGACTTGCAAATCTTACGTTGCTTGCTCCGACGGTTTCACAAACGGGCGGGAGAAGCGTCGGGTCAGCGCGCGACTTTTGACGTATTTTGCAACCATGATCGCGACCACTTTTAATAATGCCTCAACTATTCCAGTGTTACGGAATTCTTAACCGCAACTATGTCGGAAACCGCGAAAGTTCTCGCGTGCGCGCGCGCTTCATTACAACGTTCTAACGTACTTATTAATAACGCGTGATGAACGAAGGACGAAGTTCACGTACTCGCCGCAATAATTGCACAAAGCTCGCGCGCTACAGCGCAAGCGAAGAGGCAAAACGCAATTCACCATGAAGACACCTTCCGTTATCCGCTCCATTGTCCGTCCGGCAACGGATTAACCGGTAAAAAATTCTTAGAGCGAAAAAGTTACGCGCGCAAAAGAGAGAGAGAAAAGGGGGAAAAAGAGAACAAAGTATAAGACCTACGAGCCCTCTCAGGGAGACACTAAACTCCTCGACACTTCCCATCGCTTCTCGTGGTTCCCATTCCACTCGTTCCCATCACACGATGCACAACGCATGAAAACATGAGCCGTGAGCGCGCTCGCGGAATCGGCTAGATAAGATTAACGCGGTCGTTTGAAAGTCGTCAAGGAGATCATAAATACGCGAAACGACATATTAATGAATTATTTTGCACCACAATTAGACGCGCTGAATAAAACAAGAACGATGAATACCTCCCACCCGTCGGACCGTTACTTATTGAATGTCGCGGGGCCAATTGGGAGCGCCCGTGGCGTGTCACGTGTCGTGCGTCGACCGCGACTTAAGCCCGTGTGATTCTCAACGGCCGCCGTCGAGCTGGTCCGAATGTTCTCTTGGCCCAAAGCACCCCTCGACAAAACGGCCCTGTCCGATGAACGCACTACTTTTCTGCTGCATCCCCACCGAGTGTATCGAATGTACGGGCTAGCGAGCGTCGATTGGCCACGGCGACGATCTCCGGGTGGGGACACCGCGTCACGAAACGAGGCCCTCTCAGCGCTGGGCGGTTGTATCAATGCGCAATCGCATCGGAACGGTACACGGAGTCAGGGAGTTCCGTGGCGAGGCGAGGAATAAACAGAAGTGGATAGTCCGCGCACAGCACAGACAGTGGCGAAGAACGGGCGGCAGAGGGAGCGAGCAGCCGGGCGAGCGAGAGAGAAAGAGAGCGAGCTGACGGAGTGGGAGGGAGCGAGAAAGAGGGAGCGAGTGAGCGCGAGCGAGACGGACGGCGCGAACGGGACGATCGAGAGAGAGTAGGAGGCAGAAAGAGATAGAACGAACGAGCAGGCCAGCGAGACGATCACGATGCACGGAGGCGAGCACAAGCGGCCAGGGGCACAGGGCTGAGGGCTGAGGGCTCGACGGGGCCTCGTATAGCGTTCACGGGCCGGCTGCAGCGCAGCCAGCGAGCGATGGAGCAGCCGAAGACTCCCGCGTCACGGCTACTCAACACGAGCTGCATCGAGAACAAGGACGACCTGGAGGAGGTAACATAAATATTTGAAATAGTCACTGGATACGTATCGGGTGCGAGAGCCTCCGCCATTGTTGCGACGGTCGCGCACGACGTTGACCGCGTGGCGCTACTTGTGAATACGCACGTTCGACCGCCAGATTCAAAGGCGACAACACCTGGCAACGATAGTCTTTTCTCGCGTTCTATCCGCCTCACCTCTTTCCATTTGCGTTTCTCGCATTTTCATGTAGATGAGAAAAGCGCATCACTTTAACGTTTAACGTACTCGCTGTCAAAGTTTATTTTGATGTAAACTTCCTTACGGACCAGCTCGAATTTTTCTTCACACAAAAATATAAAACACACTCGGCTTGATCATGTGCACGTAGAAAATAAATTTTGCTCTGTCATATGTGACGCATCGATCTCTCACGAGAAACTAATGTCACTCGCGCGCGTGGTAACGCATTAATTAGATGACGCGTAGTTCACTTTTCTTAATTTTCTCGTTCTTTAGCTCGACGAATAATCTTTTATTCGTCCATTTTTCGCAATCTCGGAGAACGTTCAGCAAAGGAACGTTGAAAGATACGTATTAGATCTGGCAGGCAATCATAAATCTTTTTCTTTGGGTAAACTTGTGAAAAATGAACTTTTCCATATGCTTTCAAGATAAAACATTTTCACTTTTCATAATTTCATATGCTAGAGAAAAAGATTTATGATCGACCAACTGTTCTGCTTTGAAGAACTTCCTGAAATGTGGTACACTTGTGCAATAAGTTAAAGTGAAGCAAAATACATTTGTTTCACCCTAACTTATTGCACTAGTGGTACATTAGTCCAGGAAGTTTCTCGAAAAAGAACAGACTTATCATTCCTTTTTATTGTTTTTTCTTCCTTTATCACTTCATGGAGTTTGTGGCATTAAGTAATACAATGTGTTTTTAGAAGTTTGAGAGATGCTACTCTGTACTGCAAAATTTGACCACGGGACTGTCGGAGAAGGAGGCCCACGACACGCTGAACAATGCAGTATGCAAGGACAAGACACACGAGGAGGTTTCCTTGGGCTTATTGGTGGTGATCTTGACCGATCCGCAGAATGCTGCGAAGAGTTACAGGGACTTGACACTAATCACCCGAGATGGCCTCAGCATTGTGCTGATCCACCTCAATCAATTAGTACTGGAGAGATACTTGAGGTTGAACGACGTCACGAGGAGTCAGCTGTTGTGGTTGCTGCGGGAAATGATAAGGACTAGTGTAACCAATGTGGATACCCTTTGTTTGAGTTTATTGAGGCATGCAGCGGGTGGAGATATCTCACCTAGGAACTTGTTCCTAGTTGACGCCCTTTTAGATATTTTTCAAGAGAATCGGTCGTGGCTGGACAAATTCCCGTTTGTGGTCGCGTCGGTTGTGTACACGTATTTGCGGTTAATAGAAGATCACAACGCGCCCCACCTGGCCGGTTTGCGGCAAAAGGAAGTGACCTTTACGGTGACTCTGATAAGGGAACGAATGGTGGACTGCTTAGCCATCGGAAGGTACACACTCTCGACCCGTGAGACTCTAGCTGGATGAGAACTAATCGTATGTATCTTCTTTTCTTTGTAGAGACTTTGTGCGTTTGCTGCAAAATGTGGCCAGACTACCGGAATTCGAGGCGTTGTGGAAGGACGTTCTACAAAATCCAAAGTGTCTCTGTCCGAATTTCAACGGGATACTACAGCTTCTACAGACGAGAACTTCTAGGAGATTTCTGCAGTCGCGGCTGACGCCGGACATGGAGAGGAAACTTGTGTTCCTCACGAGTCAAGTCCGCTTTGGCAATCACAAGCGTTATCAGGACTGGTTTCAACGGCAGTATCTAGCTACGCCCGAATCTCAATCGTTACGATGTGATCTCATTCGTTTCATCGTCGGGGTCATACATCCGACGAACGAGCTGCTATGCTCCGATATCATACCACGATGGGCGGTGATAGGCTGGCTGTTCACTACGTGCACCTCCACCGTGGCGGCCAGCAACGCGAAACTGGCTCTGTTCTACGACTGGTTGTTCTTCGAGCCCGACAAGGACAACATCATGAACATCGAGCCAGCGATCCTTGTCATGCACAACTCGATGAGGTCTCATCCACCTGTCACTGCCACACTTCTAGATTTTTTATGCAGGGTACGTTGTATATTTCACGACGACACTTTCGTTCTTCCGCGAGACTCTGCTGTGAATCGTTGCCAGACTCGACTGCGAATTGTCGCGAGACTCCACTACATTTCTAAATCTCAATCTGTTTGCAGATAATATCGAACTTTTATCCTCCGCTAACGGACAAAGTGAGAAACGGGATATTTTCATCACTACGACAAATTTTAGAAAAACGCGTCTTACCTAGCCTGTATCCGCTATTCGATAGCCCGAAACTCGATCGAGAACTGAGAAGCAAAATACGGGAGACGTTCAAAGAGTTTTGTCTGCCACCAAACGCGGATCCTGGTAAAGTCATTATAACCGCATGTATCCCTTCTGTCTTTTTCTCTCTCTTTCTTTTTTCTGCTCACACAGTCACGCTTGCTGCATGATACGTGTCCGCTATGCACATTAAAATGTCTACTGTTCAAGATAAGCAGAGTTAATGCTTCTTTTGCCGCCACGCTTATCGTTGTTAAACACAAAGTAGTAAAGAAACGTGATGTTATGGTGTATATGCTCTATCACGAATTAACAAATCGAGGGAGATTTAATCTTTCCTGAATTACTTTTCGTTACAAATATGACAATTCACCATTTCAGCTTTCAGCACATCGCTTACTAACTTTGGTTTTTACATCCTTTTCTTAAGCAGGTAATAAGGTTCCGATATATTCAGGTAAAATGGAAGAGCTTAACAAGGAGCACAATCCAGGGGCTGTAATAGAGAACACCGCGAATTCTACCGTGGAGAATAATCATGTAACACAAGATCCGGAGCCAGCATTCAGTGACGAGGAGGAGGACTCTCCTCTAAGGTTGTTCATTCATAATTCTCAGCACGCTTTGAGTTTCGTGTTGGAATAAAATTAACTTAATGAATTTTACGGTATTTCAGAATAGTGACAAAGGTAGAGGACGAGGAAGACGAGGAAGACATGCCGTTATCCGCGATAAAACTGAAAAACGAGCAGAAAAACGCAAACTGCATCGCGAAGAAAGAGGATATTACGTCGCAATTAAATCTCATATTAGAACCGGAAGAATTGAAAACCAGTATCGAGACTATGCACACGGAGACGGATAACGAGGCGAAATGCCAAGCGATGGAGAGGATAGTACAAATGGTCGTGGAGGACGAGATAGACGTCGAGACAATACCCACGTTGGCGTCTTGCCTGTCGAGCATTCTCTCGCCGCAGATTACGCCGCGGATCTTCCCGTCGGACAATATGAACGAGGAAACGCTGACCGACAGTATAAGTACGCCGCTGTTCGTCATGTTCCGAAACCAATTTCAATTGTGCAAAGAAGAGGACAACCGGCGAAAGCTCTTGGCCAGAGTGTTGGCGGAGATGCAGTCGCTCCAACCGAGAATAGGTTACCTTCTCCTCTATTTCCTCAAGGTCTGGGGCAGGGAGGAAGAGAAGCGGGAAGGCGAGCCGAGGTTGGTCCTAGGCAAAAACACGAGATACCAAAGTGAGAAAATAAGAGGGAGAAAGCGTAACTCGAGCCTTACGTCGTTTGATTTCAGCAACATGTTGAACGACGTCAAGGCGTCAGTGTACAAGGATTTTTGCGCGCAGAGAGAGAAAAAGCTGGACGTGTGTTTGGTGTCGGATCTGAAGGTACGTGACTTCAACATTCTTACCATCTGAATAAGTGAGAGATGTACGCAACGTGTTCGAAGACAGCCTGTTGATATATAATTTATCTCCACAGCTCTGTCACGAAGATAACATATGTATGTTGTGCTACCTGGTGCCGGACGTATACATGGGATTTCAAAACGTCGCTCTCGGCAATGCGCAGCTGCTGCATCTGGTCGTGTCTACCGTGGATCCGCGCCAGCTACAGGATCTGATCTGCCAGATAATGCAGGGTCACCTGAAAATGCTGAAGAAGGAGTCGTTCACGTCGCTGCTAACGGCTAGTTTAAACTGGGACAGCTTCGAGCAATTTTGCTTCTGGCAGCTCATATTCGCGCACGATTTTCCTGTTGATTACGTACTGCCGATACTGTCGAAGCTACAGTTTCACAATCACGCAGAGGCACTTACATCAATCTTGTTCATGCTGAAGCAAGAGAAGTGAGTAACGAAGCTAAATTGTTTTACATTCCTGCGTTCAATCTATTGGATCAGTTAAAAAGTCTAGTTCGATTTTTCGTTAAATTTAATTCTCACTTTTGATTCTCACCTTGAATGAAAACAAACAACTTGTTGATCAATCAAGTAGCCATCGTCGTCACGATTCTTTGCCAACATTTTTAGCAGCATTCGTACATCTTTATCACGAAGAATGGTCGGTTTATCGTCAAAGGCGGGAAATTGTACCGAACCTTTTGATCGATCTGATACAATTGTTTGGATTCGACGTATTGACTTTTCTATCGTTAATTTTACAGACCGACATTGGATCTCCTACGACAGTTGCTCGCTCGACAAAGCATGGACGGCGACATGTTCGTCGTAGCCGTGCTGCGTTACTGGTGTCGCGATTACGAGGAGAAGCTCGGTGAGCTGCTCGCGAATCTTCTCAGCACCCGCTATCCCGCCACTAGTCCCAACAAACGGAAACGTTCCGGTGGCAAACAAAACCAGCAATCTGGCCCACCCACCGGCGAGCAAGTGCTTGGCCATCTGGACCAATTGCGTCAGCATTGCTCTTCATCCGCGCAGTTGCAGCTGTATCATTCAGAGGGTATGCAACGTGCGCTACAACAGGCGCAAGCGGCAAGCAGCGACTCGCTGAGGAAGAGCTACGGTGATTTGTTTGCGTTGGCGGAAGTCAACGAGGAAAATGAACCGCCACCACCACCGGCCAGTAGTTCCGCGAGAAAGCACACTACGGCTTCCTCTGGAGGCGGCGGAGGCGGCGGTAAGGGAGGTCATAGGAAAACCGGCGCTAACACGAGGGAAAGGTCCAACGCGAAAAGACCACTTCCGCGCTACCACGTTGACACTACCTCTAGCAGCGAGGTGAGCACTCTAACCAAGACCGATATTCATAGTTTGTTATTATTCGAACTAATCATCGTGACTTTGAGTTTCCGATTACTCGACGATCTGTACTTTTTTTCATACAAGCAATTGATCGAAAATAATCAAATAATCTTTTTTAGCCAGACTTTTTGGCAGACTTTTAAAGCCATATTAGATCATTTTTTATAGGAAGTCATTATTTCTTATAAGAAATTACATAATAACTATAATATTTCTAGAAGGATGTAATATGCGTTATGTGCTCTAGATAGATATCTAGATGTATTAACTCTTCTGTCAATGCACGAGTATTCAGTATTCATTTCGAATTGCGGACAAGCAGTTGATGAATGCGTAGAAACATGTACCGTCGCGGAGCAGACATACAAAAGGTCTTTGTTATTCTGAGACTTTAGAGTACAATAGAAAAGAATGTTCGCAACTTGGCAGCTGCTATAATGACGTTTCCATCGTGTCATATGCTGAAATATCCGGTTACCCGATGCGTTGATGGAAAAACGAAAAATATATTGACAAAAGGGTTAAAGGCTATTATGCTGATCTATGTACATATCCGTAGTTAGTTGTACTCCTCCGACTAGAGATTGTAAACAGTGTATAATCATAAATACTAGTCTGAGTAAAAAAGTACATTACAACATGCTAAACACCGTTCCTTTCGACACTTGCAGGAGGAGGAGATCGTGAACCCAAAGCAAGCAAAGAAAAGAAAAAAGATTAATCCAGTGGGCTCGGACAGCGACTGACCACCCAGTGTCTTCACATGTCACATGGACCACGTCACGTGTGTGCAGCAAGTTAACATACTAGCCTTAAGGATAGTAAGATAATATAATACACAAGATAGTTCTATCTAGCGCGACTTGTAAATATTAATGTACGTGTCAAGGGCGCAATAGCGCCACGTTGATGGAGGATCTTCAATGTGTGTTTCGTAAAGTCGGAAGCTACAGCAAAATTGCCAGACTCTGATTGTTGTTAAATCGTTTTATTAGGGAAAAAAGATGTGATCGCTGTGAATAATGTTAAGAATTGTCCTCGAGCGCGTTTCTATCATGATTGCTGATCGTTCCGGTGAATTCTCTCGTTATGACATACGACGGTCGAGCGGCCTTTCATCTCTTGGAGTCCTGGAAATATTCGCGATTGTCAGGCTGCCGCGGCGTCTGTTGAACGGAGCTCCTTACTGAAAAGCGACGTCAATCGCGCGTCCCTAAATCACTAGACGATTGCTTTTTTCTGCAAAATATGAAAGCGGAAGACAGAATCTGGCAACATTGCAAAACAATACAACAAAACACAATACATCCTTTTGCACTTTACTACTTGTTTTTTTTTTCTCGACGGCTTCTCGATGGATTCTCGTTCGTTCCGTTCTTCGCAATATTTTTCCCCTCAGAGTAATCGCATGCGAGCGGACATATCCCGTTGCCATAACTCTCAAACGGAAATTCGTATTTGAATTATTAGTTTCTTTACTTTTTCAAAATTAGGAGCCTTTCGCCGGAACGACGAGACACGACTCTCGCAAGCCGTGATCCGAATTCCGGCGAGAAGCGTACAGTTTTACGACCTGAATGTATTCAGTAAAAAGCACAATTATTCTCGAGGACGCAGGGATATCTTTTTTTATAAATGTTCTGCATGACTGAAGGTTGTTGGCTTTAATGTAACCGATGCAATTCAGATCGGACAGTTTTCCCCCTCGAATAAATTACCTTCTTTTGTTATGAATTTTACTAGAGCGATTTAACGATTCGTTGTGATTGTGAAACGCGACGTAATACGATTTGTATTGTATTTTTCTATGTGAGCTTTTTACATCTCTTATATTTGTAGATATATAGGTAGATAGATAAATATGAAGAGAAAGAGTGAATTCATTCGCAGAAATCATGATGTACCGATCGGCGTGTAACATCGGATTCATCATTGTACAAGTACGCGATCTTAATGATATCCAATTGGTTTTCCCGCGCGTCATGCCACACGTGTTTTTCTCTGAGAGATCTCGGAGGACAGTCGAACGCACCTTCCGCGAGAGAAAAAGCGAGAAAACAGAAAGAGAACGGAAAGAAGTACGGTCTTGCCGAGCGTTTTAGCAAAACCCACGCCCGCCCCGAAGGCAAGACGTCACCTATCACCACTTCAAACCATCAAATGTACATTTCTTGTAAAATTGGTTATTCTAAAAGTAAGTTGCATTATGTATTTTCTAGATTGTATATATATATACACACACACACGTGATTCTCGAAAATGGTGTAAAAGTATGTGTAGTGCGTGTGTATGCGTGTGTTGTATGTATGTGTGTGCTTGCGCGCGCGTATTAGTATGTGTGAGGAGGTGAGAAAGAAAGAAAGAAAGAAAGAAACATATTTACGTTACATGCGCGGTGTGCGCGGCCGGGTTTGAGAATTCCGAACACTTTCCGTTTTCACGAACTTTATATAACTCAGCACCCTCCAGACCCCGCGCCCTTCTTCTCTCACTTCCCTCGATCTTATCTTAGAACTATGAGAGTGCGAAATCGTGTCGATGTTCGAATAAAAATATGAGAGAAGTGCACTAGAGAGAACATGCCGAACGTTCGTATGTACGGATAGTTTGTATGAAGGACGGATGCATGTAATATCCATTTGTAATGCTGCGTGATAACGGCATTACTGGAGTTTTCTACTTGTACATAAATAACGGCGATATACGTTGGAGAAAGAGGGCGAGAGAAAGAGAGAGAGAGAGAGAGGGGGGGGGGGGGAATTTAA